GTAACGACCAATTCCTTTCTCCCCCCGGCGTTTTTGAACAGAACGATGGAAGTCTAGATGGACATCGATACTTCTTGTGTCACCCCAACCGAGGGTTATTCGTGCGGATCACACGGTGCCGAACCCGCACCGGGCACGGTGTGGAGGACGCACGGCATGCATCGTTTTCGGCACGAACACTGGGGGGAACGACTGACAAAGATGACTGGAGCTCCAGGCTCTCGAACCAGATCGGGCCAAACACCGTCGACGCTCGCACCGTGAGAAGGGCGTCGTCGCCCCCGTACCTCTCGGATATTCTCCGGTGGAGAAGTGCGTACATAGGTTCCAGCGGCACCTATCGACCGCGGCGTAAACAGTATCGTGTCGATGCACAACCAAACACAAAAAAGTGGGTACCTGCCGATTCGGGGAGTGGTCGCCGAGAACCCCGATGTCACGACAGTGACGCTCGACGTGCCGACACCCAGCACAACAATATCGCACCGGAGAGTAAATCATCCGGCAGGAGTACCTCGTTGGAAGCTGATCCGCTGGAGGTATAGTTAGCGTGTGTTGGTTGAATTCATTGCCACACGGACGGAGTGTTTCATCATTTGTGACATAGTGGCGCTGACACTACTACATGGAATGCGTAGAACACATGGAAACAATTTTGTTTTGCTTTTTCCTCGAACAAAGAATGAAAAGAGTGGGATGATTTGAATAGTTTTCACGGTCGAGCTACGTGTGCCGAAGCAACTGGCTTCTCGTGAGCTCTACAGAGAGTTCGACGTGTGTTTGGAGAACACTCGATCGGTGACGGCTAACCCTTCTGTGCTTTCCTTCACAACACCTTTGAAAAACACAAGATGGATCTGGACCAAGTACTGGATCGAGTGCCCGCCGCGTCTGGAATCCCTACGGAGGACGCGGTTGTTGCACCAGCTGCCGAGCTTGCCAAGACCAACCAAAGCACAAACGTAGACGAAGCACAGGCGGAAAAACGGCGCCAGAAATTGATAGAGAGCTACACCCATTGGTCAAGAAACCGAGAGCGACACCAGCGTCGAGGTAATGGGGAATTGGGGGTAGAAAACCATTTGTCTGATCATTTATCGACGCGAGGGACGGCTGAGGCAGCTCTGGTCAAACGAAGGGCAGCTGGCACTTTGAAAGGAAAGGAGCCTACTTCACCTACGGGGGCACTTGCAGTTGCCTCAGAAAGTCGCAATCGATGCATCGTTAGAAGAGGCGTGCAAACGACCTCCGTACGATGGCCGCAGGATGGTGGCAACGGCTGCACCCTTGATTCGGTTTCGCCGGGGGGTGCCTCGAGACAATTGTTGATTTCTCGGGACCTTCGTCGGGCTCGCCTCCTCATGAGAGCAAAAGGAAAGCTGGGTCTGCTGCACGGAGCAAGCCTCATGAGAGAGGCCACCCTGTGTCGAGAACGATTCTTTGTGTTGAGCGATAGTCCCTCCTCCCACAGATTTTGTGTGGCTCACGTTCTTCCCGTTGAATCAGAACCCTCTTCGACACCAGAAGACCTTGCCATCGAGCGTGCGCTTGCGGTTGTGCCAGCAGCCACTGCTGGACATGCTCAGTCTTCCGCCGTTCTCCCTGTCTGCGCACCCGAGGTCGGAATTGACGTAGGTGTTCGCGCTGGACCGTTCGGCGGTGTTCAGCAAACATCCTCCCAGCAAATCGTGGGGGTAGCCAACCCCAGCAGGCCATTCACACCTCCGGCGAGGAGAGCTGCCGTATTTCCACCAGAACAGCGAGCAGGCCGCGAGCAAGAAGCCGAACACCGCGGGACAGGTTTGTCACCCGTCGACGTGCAGCGCGCGAGAACTATGGGTGGTACGTGCCGGCATTCACCAGAGACGACCAAGATCCCCGCTGCCGAGGAACCACTCGACGGGAGTGGCGGTAACGCGGGAACCAACTGGGGCGAAAGTGACGCGGGTTCAACCTGTCGAGACATCGTGATCCGAGCGCAACCGACTGCCCCGAGAATCGAAGTCGCCGATGAGGCCGTCTGCGGCTCAGCACCAACAGCATTTGTGCGAAGCTTCGGAGTGTCTAGAAGGCCGCAGTTAGGTGCCGTGAGTCATGGGTCGTCTCTGGGCTTGGCGGAACAACCCCAACTTGGAAACACCGTGGACGGAGAGAAGCAGGAGGCGGTACAAGTTTTGCCTCGGGGAAGAGAAGAGTCTCCAGGAGATGAGACCAACGACGTCACTGCTGGGGTTTCGATTGAAGCCGGAAAGCCAGCAGTGAAAACACTAGCACCGCCTCCGATCCACACAACTGACTTCGATCGACAAATTGTTCCCTACCTCGGGAACAGAGGAGTCGCGGTTTGGAGAAGAGATCGAGCGACGGTTCAGAATGTAGATATTGTCTTCCCGGCTGAGGCGCGCTCCTCTCTTTCGCAGGATGGGCCGACCCCACCACAACCACAAGTGGACCTCAAATGCCATCGCAGTGTCGGTGGCGGCGGGAGCAGTAGCGATGGGCCTTCGGTGCGCTACGAGATGAAGGCGCGAGCTAACGACGACAATGTTTCGAGGGCGTCTTCCCCGGGAGCTTGCGTCCGTGAGAGACGAGCCGACCGAAGTGTATCTTCCTTGCTTCGTCGGTGTCACCCACCGCCTCGGGCCCCTTCAGTCAGAGGAGCAACCTCGCGTGGCGGCTCTGGACCGATCGATGGCGAGGGCCCGGATGTTGAGAACAGAATAGTTCCGTTTTCCTTCGGACGGTCTGTCGTGAAAAACGTAGGAAGCAATATCCCAAAAGGAGTTACAGAGGTAGGCGGGAACCCCCCCCTCTGGGGAAAGGGTGACGCCCTAGTACCGGGGAAGTCGAGCAAAGGGGAGGGCAGCGCGCAAGCCGACACGTGTCAACGCAAACACGTTCTCGGCCCAACAGGATCAGCGCCTGCTGGCACGAGTCACTGCCTACCGAGTAGACAGGAAAGTACGGGCACGTGTCCCAACGCTGCGAAAGTGCTTCAAGCGACGAAACCGCTAATGGGTACGTGTTTTCCAGAACAGCAGGAGGGCCATGGAGAAGGTGTTGTATCAGCAGAACCGCGAACTCTGAGAGTATCCTCACCGCAGCTTGCGGCAGCCTGCATTCAGGACGTTGCATGCGTTGATGAACAGCCGGATGACAAGGTTCTGGCAAGTTTAGTAGGAAAGCCTACCAGCAAGAGGTCCGGAAGACGAGATGCAGGCGGACGCACGACCCTCCCCCGTACCGTGTCCGGGGAGTACCTTGAGCACAACGCGAGTGACAGGCAGCCGGAAGATGACGCTCTGGTCCCACTGGAGGGGCACGGCAGGGACATTGGCGAGCCCCGGATGCCTGTGTGGCGAGGTACCGCCGCAGGGCCTCCGGCAGAGGAATCGCGAGCCCGTTCAGCTCTCCAAGAACTACCACGACGTCGGTTGGACGCGTTTACAGTCACAGCAGGCAGTAGTGACGGCCCTGGTCCGTCAACGTCTCTTTCGCCCCCCTGTCTGTTTTTGCCGCTGCCTTGCACACCAAGCCTCCGGCAACTTGAGGCAACAGGAGAGGCGGTCATGCATGGCAACGGACACGAGAAAGGGGAAGTTTGTCCGGCTGAGCCGGTGGTACCAGCGGTGCCTCTTGGAGGTGACATCCTGGAGGGCTCAACAATGAGGACTGCACCAACTGGTCCACTTGCTGCGTCGTCGGCTGCAGCGTTTTCCAGACAACCGGCGTCATCCGAAGCGCTGCCGCTCTCCCCGCCGGCTCTGCGATCGAAGCAGCTCATCGTTGCAACTGTCGGCGTCGGCGTTGAGTTGGGGTCTAGGGCGGCGCTAGGCTCTAGTGTCGAGCTGTGCTCGCCGCCTTTGACAGACAAGGATGCATCATCTCATCTGCCACCTCCTTTGGTCCACTACCGTAGGCCATATTGGTCCATGGGTGTGGATGCGGCCAGTCAGGCAGGCACAGATCGTGAAAATGCGGAGCACAGTTGTACAACGTAAGTATATTGTTTGCGTGCAATGTCTGCCGTTGCTTGCGTGTGAAGTGTCGATCACAGCGTTGTCAGAACGACAACGATCCCGTTTGCACAATCAACAGCACCCCTCGATACTGCTGAGTGCCCTCATGATCAATCACACGCGAACGGCAAATCTTGCCATCCCGAGACTCTGCAGCACTTTCATTCATGTACCCGTCGGCTAGGAAGAGACCAACCCTCACAGGCCCATACCCCCTGTTGTTGACTCCCTCGGACAATCTGGACGTGTGTACTGCTTCCGTCTACATCCAGACCCGCGGCACCTCCAGACAACCATGCTCAGGGTGCGTCTGAGGCGGCAGCGGAAACGGCTCCCGCCATTGCGAAGCACAAACGGATCGCGAACAGCGCTATCGACGATCGTCAACCGTCACGAGAAGGCCAGCAGCAGCAGCAGCAGCAGCAGCAGCAGCAGCAGCATGGTTTGGAATTGGCAATGGATCTCGGTTCTCACGTTGAACCTATCGCTCGGTCGAGCGACCAATCAGACGGCAGCAACTTCGCCAGGAAAGGGAGTCTGCAACGCCACCTTCAACGGTACCCCCCGCCTCCCGGCCCCCCGCCGTCGCCGATAAGGGCCTTAAGGCAAGGCAAGACGTCGCCGAAGACGGCTAGCAGCTCACAATCACGGAGACATCGAGAGCGTTCGGCGCGCGGGCAGGACTGTGGGAGGCTGACGAGTCAGGTGGTAAGCAGCGTGAAGCAATCATTGGTTGGGACTCTTGACATAGCGTCAAAACCGGTCTCGAAGAGCAGCAAATACTGCGTCCCTTTTAAAAACACATGGGAGTCGGATATATCGTTTCGACACCGGATCACAACGTTATTGTAACGTCCGAAGGCAGTGTTCAAGCAACGGCCACGATAACTCTCTCGCAGGCAGGCAGTGTCAAAAGGTCGTTCAGCGCGCTGATACTGTAGCACTCGTGAGAGTGTCTATTCCCAGCTCTTGCAGAGGACCATGGTGAAACCACGCCGAATATCAGCTGCATCTACTGCTAGTTCTGCTGCAAAACGTCGTCGCCAGCACTCGTCTTCCGTATCCCTCTTTGAACGCCTTCATCTACCGACCTGCGCTTCCTGCTTCCTCTTTCTGCTGCTAGGTCGCCGAGGGCACCATCGCAATCTCACCTCCCACGACAACCGAAGACGAGGCCCACGATCTCTACTATCGCTCCCCTCGCCCTCATGAAAGCAAGGGCCGGTCAACGGCCGACAGTCAGGAGGATACTGCTCTCCTTGACCTAGCAGAGGTCGCGGTGAGCTGGTTACCCCCGCCCCCCCCGCCCCCCCCAGAAGCACGACGCCGCCGCCGGCAGCGAGCGAGTATTCCGCCACCTTCCCCTTCGTCTCCGTGTCCCAGTGATTGCAACGTCGAGGGCAGCACTGGAACACCACCATCACCACCACCACCCTGCCCTCGAAACGGTGGACCAGTCGTCGGCAAGAAGGACGGCTATGGGGAAGATTCCAACGAATACTCCTGGGCGTCGAGAGACAGCAGTCGCTGGGCCGATTGCCGTTGCCAAGGCGTTGCGCGCGTTGATGGGACGCCACCAAAAGACGGGTGCCGCGGTGAGATGCGACCGACTGGCGGCGCAACGGTGGCGACTGAGACCACCAACCCGGCTGAAGAGCACAAAGACACGGACGGGCGAAGAGGGGGGGAGAAGTCTTCGGGGGAACTGCAGGGTAACCGGAATCTCGAGGAACGTGGTGGTTGGGCCGGTAGCGACGAGGGGTCGGCGGCCAGGCGCCGAGCGGATGAAGTTCTAGCGAGGATCTCTGCCCTCGAAATCTACTTCGACCGGGTCGAAGATCAAGTCGTGCGAACGCCGCCTGCGCCTGCTACGGCTGGAGCCCAAGCACCCGGACACGTGACACTCAGCAAGGGAAGGAGTTTTGATGCTGCGGAGTCCAACAGTTGTTCGAACCCGACACTCGGCGTGGGCAAGAGGGGTGAGGTCGAGAGGGAATGGGTCGGGAGTCGAGAGCCCTTACCTTTTGAAAAAAGAAAGTGCCTACGCACACAGTGGATCATGGCGTGCCAGCTTCACTTCCGAAATACTTCGTTCGACTATTCTGTAGTGTTCTCTCGCTCCCATCCAAGGGCCTCAAACAAAACGTCGAGGATACCTGTAAGTCGACCCCGACGCTTTGTGGCTGCACCGACTTTCCACCTCAAGCAAGACACTGCCACTTCGAAAGTACCGGACAATAAGCGTATGGAACGCCGGAATGTTGAAGGTGAAACGGCGTTCGGCCTCGAAAGGGACTGTAGTGTCCCAAACCATACGACAGATCAAGGCTTCAAGTCAGCACGTACTCCCGCCCGCCCGTCCTCGCCAATGCCCCAACACCATCCACTTTGTCGCAACAGGAGGACACGCAGAAATCTTGCTGGCAGACGTTGAAACCACACAAACCGAGGGTCACACCGGCTATGATTCTTCCAAGGATCTTGCTCGTGGAGATCGGCCATCCTCCCCTCCTCCGCTGCCAAGGGATACGCAAACCCGAACCCACAAAGTAGACGATGGCGAAGAAGAAGTGCTATCAAGCGAAGAACATTCCGTCGCTAACTCTGGCCTGCGGACTCCGGCACCACGGCGACCAAATGACGCTGCTGCTGTTCCGCCGGCAATGCTCGAGTTGAGCCTTTTAGAAGCGGGACGCGGGACACTTTCCCGGGGCTTCGAAGGATGCGACGTCGGAAACGGCGCCAGCGTTAGCAGAGGCGGAAATGGCGACAGCAGTAGTGGCGGGGCTAAAGAGCAACACAAGAAGTTTTACTTCGACGTGGGCAGGACGATGATGCTCGACACCTACCAAAGAACAGCTGGTAGGTACGGTGTGCCCGAGCGTCATCCCCAAGGGGGTCCCCAAGGGGGTCCCCAAGGGGGTCCCCAAGGGGGGTGCTAGGCATGAACGAACGTATTTCCTGTTGTTTGTTTGAGCGCGATGCAATTCGATGCTCCTTGGTTGCGGTTTAGGTTTTGACTTGGTGGACCGTGGTTACTTGTTAACCCAGCAAGTTGCGTGCTTTCCACATGGACTGGTGGTGGAGGTTTGAAAAGCGCTTAGAACATTTGGAGGGACAATCGAAACAGACACCCGTATTGCTCCTCCTCAGGGATAAGCCACCGCCAAATGGAGACATCCATCCTGATGAGCGCAATGCCAGGGTTGTGGTTACTGTGCAAGAGGAGTCAAGAGAGCGTAGGTTGGTGTCGCTGTAGGAAAAAGCACTCTGCTTACGTGCTTTTCGAGGTTGTCGACAGTGCAGAGCAAGTCCACTATCGATCTCTTCATGTGCATAGAGGCAGGTGGGTGTGTACTACCTCTTCCTTCCGTGGTTTTCCTCTGCATTCCAGCTTCTTGTTGTAAACAGTGCGCGCTATTATTATAGAGCTAGACTGTTTTGAAGTATTTTCTAGATTTACCGTCGACTTCCTCGATGTTAAGCCTGTTGACAGATTATTGAGCGTGATGCTGTAGAAAATCCCCGCACGCGTGTCCGTTCTTGTTGGTGCGGCAGAAAAGTTCCACCCTATTTTGTTGCTACCTCCGTAGGAGCCTGGACTCGCCAACACATGGTGAAACAAACGAAAAATATGTGTTCATTCTCGGAGTGGGAACGAACTGCTTCGACTTCAATGCCACCGGATAACAGAAAGCTTCTGTGAGGGACGACGACAAAAACAATGCATCTTTTCAACGAAAGAACACGCACGTATGTGACCCCCCCGCGGCCACGGCAGCCAGATGACTTGCCTCTTTATTTATGTAACATTTCTGTCGTATACTGTAGTCAACACATTTAGACCATCTCCCCTTTACGCATGCACGACAACCGCATGCCCAGAGGTATAAATATTGTTGCCATTGTCTGGGCAGCACTCTATGTAGACTATGCCTCCGGCGTTTGTTGATTGTTGTTGTGCGGGAGGCCAATTGGTTCCATGCTGCCAATCTTGCTCCTCCCCCGACGCGTTTGTCTCCATCCCTCTCGTTTTTGCCTCCTCCTTCATCACTACTTCTAAACTTGTTCTATATGCCACCACCATCCTGCTTTTCGCCGGCATTATCCTGCTAACATCCCAACCAATTGGCTGCGTGTGGTGGACTATATTATTGACGTCACGAGTTCGCTCTGACAGGAAACCCGAGTTCGATTCTCGGATTGGACACCATGTAACGACGCTAGCACGCAACGGTAGAGGTCTACAGTGTGTTATCAGTAAGTACGTGCAGCTCCCGTTCATGGCACGGTTTCTGGCACGAAAAAGGGGATTATTGCTCCTGACAGGTATTCGCTCATGCAGCGATGCACACACACTGACCTCTCTTCGTGAAATCAAACGACTGTACCGAGTGCGATGAGTAGTGAAGATACTCGTACCAGCTGTAGTAGTCGATGTAGTGTCGGAGCAAAGGCCTCCTTGTGAATGTATGTTATGGTCTTATTCTTTAGTTCAAGCTCAGGATAGTAGCTTGGTTGTGAGCAGAGGAGGGCGAGTCCGGACAGCTCTTGCAGAGGCTCCGCCGAATGCGGCCAACTATCTCTGTGGGGGTGTACTTGAGGGACAATGAATGTCTCGAACCGTAACAAACGAGCTATTATGTAGCTCGCAGGTAAATGGTCTCCGAAATCTTTGTTGGTAGTAGCCTCTAGGCGAAGAAAGGAAGAAAGACTTACTCATCGTCGTGCTTCGTAGTACAGGCCAAGAGTGGCGGTAAAGCTACGAATTCCGATGGGTATGCATGCATGCAGACGGTGCCTCTTGCCAAGACCCAAGGACCGCCACTGTTTGTGGTACTTGGATATGAGCCCGAGCTGTGCATCCTCTATGGGGAATACGCGTATGGGAAGTATAGGTGTAATTGATATGTATGCGGTTGGGGTCCAAGTGCGCCCCCCCCGGGTGAGCACACGGCGGTGTGCTCCCGGCACTTGCCTGAGGGGCTTGCGTGTTGGTGACCAGCTTGCCTGAGGGGCTTGCGTGACGAGAAATATTTTATGGTCCTTTTTTTCATCTGCTGTTCCTGGGAAAAACATAGGACCCAATCTCAACACCACAGACCGCGAAGGGCGGCAGTGCACACTAACACGATATCGTAGTTTGGAGCCTAGCTAGGCCAGGTGCTGGTTCGGCGATGACGGAAAGAGAAAGAGAGTGAGAAGAACGAGCGAGGAAGGCCGAGAGAGCAGCCGAGGAAGCGGCAGCCAAGACGGCGGAAATAAATGAAGAGGAGAATAGATGAAGCGGAAGAGAGGAGTTCAGCGGAGGAAGCCGCGAGAGGAAGAGTGGGTGATGCCGGGCATGCGGCAGGTAACATGAGGATAACCGGCGCTGGCTATGCGCCTGGGTACCATAGCAGGGATGGAGCTGCCGGAGGGGCGGCTACTTTTGGAGCCGGGGGGACGGCTAGTTTTTTCGATATCGGGAGCAGCAGCAGCGTGACCGCGATTACGTGCGGAAGGACCAGAAGCCACCGGTGCACGACGGCAACTTCCCACTGTTCAAGTCGCTGTTCGAGCTCCTCCTCGCACGCGAAGATCTATCACACACACTCGCCAAGCCGGCGAGTCCAGACCAACGCATCTGGCTCCTCAACGGGCTGCCAAGGAGCGAAAACGTCTGCTTGCGCGGTGAGCGTCGCGTGCGCGATCATTAGTATGCGTTTGAGTACTTGATGCACACCACGAAGGGGGCAAACTTTCAGGCTAGAATCCTTGCCGTTGGGACTGTCTGGGGCGTGGGAGGCTGCACAACAGTTCTGCCTGCCGATGAGTGACTCCGAGCAGGAGGCACTGAAGCTGTCTCTCACGAACATGAAGATGCAGTTTGGAGAGGATCCAAAGGAGTACTTTGTTAGGTTCGAGTGTTGTCTACTCTCCGCGCCGTCAACGGCGATGCGATCACGGATGGAGAAGTATCACGTTGTTGTGGTTTCGCCGTCCGCGGAATCACAACAACCCAAGCATTCGTCGGAAGCGGCAGTAGCAGCAGCGGCGCCCCGGTCGCCGCGTTGGCAATGGGTATACAGACGGCCGCAGCGGCGGCGGCGGCACCAGCATCGGCAGGAGCGGCGGCGGCGCGGACGGGTTCGGCCAGAGCGCCGTCACCGACAGCAGCATCGGCGGGAGCGGAGGTGGTGCGGACGGCTTTGGCCAGAGCGCCGTCCCCGAGAGCAGCATCGGCGGTGGCGGCATCGGTGACGGGGGGAACGTCAGCAGCAGCAGCAGCAGCAGCGGCGGCGTCCCCGGTCGCCGCGTTGGCGTTGGGTGTCCAGACGACCGCAGAGGCGGCGGTGTCGACATCGATGACGGGGGTAACGGCAGCGGCGGCAGCAGCAGCGGAGTTCCCGGTCGCCGCGTTGGCTTCGGGTATCCAGACGGCCGGAGCGGCGGCGGTAGCGACATCGATGGTGGGGGTAACGGCAACGGCGACAGCAGCAGCGGCGTCCCCGGTCGCCACATTGGCGTCAGGTTCCAGACGGTCGCAGGGTCGCCGGCGGCGGCGCCGGTGACGGAGGTATGTGACGAAGAGTTGGAGGAAGCGTTGGTGCGACAACCATGCCATTGCCAGTCCTCGAGGAGCTTGATAGCCAATATGCTGGGGGGGACGTGAGCAACAGCAGCATCAGCATCAGCAGTTGCAGCAGTTGCAGCAGCGAGGACAGCGGCGGCGATGGGAGCGGGGACGAGGGGTTGCCCCGACGCACCCCTTCGACCCCGCTACGACATCTTCGCGTGGCGCGAGGAGACGGGGGGTGGTTCCAGGGGTGGCGTGCCCCTTCGACAGGGGCAGGAACGGGAGTGGCAGCTTCGGCGGTAACGGCGGCAGCCGCAGCAGCGACGGGAGCGGTGGCTTCGGCCAGACCTCCGACGGCAGCCGCAGACGGCAGCGGCGGCTTCGGCCAGAACCTCGTCGGTGGCAGCGGCGTCAACGGCGGCGGTGGTAAAGGCGGCAGCAGCGACGTCACCGGCAGCCGTGTTGGCGCTGGAACTCATGACGGTCGTGTCGGCGGGGGAACGCCAACGGCGGCGATGGCAGCGGCGGCAGCGGCGGTGGCGCCCTCGAGTCGACCGGGAACGGGGAGGACACGGTGACAACGACGACCTCACCTTGTTACAGCCAAGTGGGAGAACATGTGAAACGTTCACGACTTTGTTCGGTTTAGTGAGCAGACATGTACGTTTTAGCTTCGCCATTTGGCTTCGCGTTTGTTTTTTTGTTCTGTTTTTCCCTTGCTAGCGCACCGTGCACTTTGATGCAGAAAACACGTGTGTGTATGCCACGGCGTGTGCGTATTTTTTTTTTTAACTTGGTTTTATGATAATAATTGTACGCTGCGACAAGGTCATCATTGCCACAACCTGTGGAATAGGAAGCAGCACGTGGGTGATTTTTTTTCTTTGGTAATTTGGTATATTTTCAGTCGCGTTTAAACTTGCACCTGAATGCTTCATACTATTTCCGTATTCTTTGGAGGGAGTACGTTCAGTCGAGTTTTTTTTTTTTCTACGCACTGGACACTTTGCACTTAGAATGTTTCGATACGTTGGTTTTTATGTGAGGTCCTGAGTTAAGTGGTCGCTCTCTCCGGTTTGTTTCTGGCCGCGCGCACGAAATGGGATGATAGCGCGTTGTTTGGCATGCATGAAGGCATGCCGTTCAGGGAGCAGGGGGGCTTTCGGAGTTCCAGTTGAGGAGACAGTTTGCATACGGTACGAACTTTTTTTCTGGAGTTTGATGCCTTGTGTGTTATTATGTGTTTTCATGCTTCTGGTTTGTATCGCATGTTTCGCTGCTCTTGCATCGAAAATCATGCGGGGGATGTCATGTATGACCATGATTCTAGAGGGCATGAGCAGCAATCGAATTGGTTTGTTTTCTGGTCGCGCCTACTTGTGTGTTAAGTGAACGGCAAAGCAAGGGCGCTGTTGGCATAGAAATATTAGCTCGGGGTGAATTTTGGGGGCTGACAGCAGGGGGGCTGTTTGCGTGGATGCTTGCTTACGTTTTCTATCGTTTCTTGGACAACAGCGACGGTACCGATTTGCGGGTGCGCGCTGCTTAGGATTTGGTCCTTAGACACTGTAGTGGAGGAAGGATTTGACAGGTTTTGACGATTAATGGTTGGGGCCGTTCTGCTTTCCGAATTCTCGTTTTGATTGGTCGAGAAGTTGGGTTTTCGTTTTGTTTGAGGATTTGGTGCCAACCAACTCTTTCGAGGTTGTTTTTTCCAGAAATACTATCCGTTTTTGTTCCGACGCCTTTCTGACGTAGCACACATAATTGTTGGGTACCTTTCTGAGGATGATTCTTTTGTGTCAACGGTTTGAGATTATTTCCAGAGGCGAACGCGTTGGATTCGTGAATAAACTGATGGTGAAGACGCTTTGTGTTGAATGCGTAGCCAGTTTTGTTGAAGTTTTCTCAAGGAGTGTTTATCTGTGTTGGCTGATCGCGCGTGAAGGGTTGCAAGATCGTACATCGTATCAAGTAGGGGGGCTGTTTGTGGTACTTGGATATCAGTCCGAGCTGTGCATCCTCTGTGGGGGATACGCGTTTGGGAAGTATGGATGTGATGGATATGTATGCGGTTGGGATCCAAGTGTGGCCCCCCCGGGTGAGCACTACCGGTCGCCCCGGTGGTTTAGTGGGTAGCCTCGCAGCCTGCTAAGGGCCAGGTCATGGGTTCGAGTCCCGGCAGAGTGAGGTTTTTCTCACCAAAGAACTCTGGTCTAGGATGAAAGCGACGCGCTGCAAAGCTCGTTTGTTAGTAAACCATAATCGACTTCGTAAGTCGCGAGGGAAGGGATTGCTGTACCCTTCTCGCGATAAAAATACCTCAGGCATGAACCGCAGGAGGGGGTCCAACCCCCCCCTCCTATGTGACCCCGGTTGGGTCGTCTAGCTCGTAGAAGTGGAGGAGGGGCAGACGACAGAGTCCAATGATGGGAGAAAAACAAACAACAAACACGGCGCGTGAATGACTGGCGTGAATACCCCAGCCAGTACTTGCGCGAGTTTCAGTGCACAAGTTAAAAACGCCTCCAGAACCATCCTTACAGAACCCATTTTGAATTCCCCACGGCCCGCGCAACACACCACCGCACACAACACCCACGCCCACCGCACGCACGCACCGGCGACGGCTCTGACGGCTGACACGAACCTGTCCAGGACTCAAGTAGCATGGAGGTGGCTGCTTCTGGTGCGGAGACTTCTGCTCCGTCTTCCAGTGCTCTTCACGACGGAAGTTTTGACGGCGTTAGTATTGACGACGTTGCTGGATTCGCTGGAGACCTCGGCGCGTCGCTGCAGGAGGTGCTTTCCACGGAGACCTCCAGCGGGACACATGACGTTGGCGTGGAGGAGGAGGTTGGTGGCGAAGATGGAATTAGGCGCAACACCACGCCGAGCGGAAACTCAGCTCGTAACGACCAGCAGCTGGCGAATGTCGACACAAACGTATCGCCTCCAGCTGGTGCAGCCCCCGCCGTGTGCGCCAGGTCTGCAGGTGTGCAAGAATGGCGTACGTATCATGATTCCATTCCTACGCATCGCTGCATCGTCTCGGTCATGTTAGCATGAGGTTTGTCTCTAGTTTGACGGCGGACGGCTAACAACGTCGAACTTCGTTTCCCTCGGCCCATTTATGTATGGTTTTTGCACAGAGATCTTGAAGCTTCACGATAGACTCAACGGCCTGGTGTTTCCCAACCTCGAAGACGGGTCAGGAGAGTACGGGGACAAAACATGGCGGAAAGCGTTTGAGATGGTCGAGGAGGCCGTCTGATGCGGATACGCTCTGCAGATGAACAAAAAATCGAAGGTGAGTTATGGAACAGCTTTGTGCGAAAGGATGACAGCAGTGTACCCTTCCCCGTCGTGACTCCTCCGCCTTCCCTGGCATGCAGCTCTGCGTTGGTGTGCGGGAAGGTGCGTTCCACCGAAAACGGCACTCTTGATGCACGATGCACCTGACTATAGGCTCGGTTGGTTAGGCTGGCCGATTGAAAGCCCAGCGATAGCGATGTTGTTTACGAAGTATTTGTTTGCTTTTTCGCCACATTAGCTCTCGATTCGGTCTCTATTCCAAAACATCCATGGGAGGCCGTAGTCACAAAGCCGCTACAATAGGTACACTCAACGATACAATAAACAAGCGGTATGTGAATCCGTTGTTCCACATACATACAGATATTCACCGCCGAAAGTGTTTGCCACCGCCCAGCTCTTCACGAAGGCCTCCGAGTCGACGTCCGGGAGGCGCAGCAGGTACAACTGGGCGCAGATCAAGTGTATCCATTCGGGGCAACCGAGAGAGACCGCGAGTACCGCGGATGTCCACGCTCGCAAGAAGACATCCACCAAGAAGGTACTTGCTTTCTGATTATCTGCCCGACGCAGCCATGACCGCGTGCACATTTCCTCATGGTTGCGCGAGGTGGACTGAATCGACATGTGGTTCGCGGGTAAAAGTGCTGTTGTCCTTCGTTTGGTGTACATGCTGGGACAGGTAGTCAAGGTTGCAAGCTGCATACGGCATGGAGTGTGCGTAAAGAAGTCGAAGAATCATCCACGATTTTCCACCCTGTTGTTGTGTGAATCAGCCTAGCCTAGGTCGGCGGTGGTTTTTGTGTGCTGTTTTTGCATGTGGGCCGCACTCTCTGCCAATCCACCCGTATGCAGACCTTATAGCCAGGGAGTTCCAGTGTTTTGCTGCGGGTTTTGCCGCCTCTGTCTTGCATTGCTTCGTTCCAACCGCGCGCTCCATCGACCACACCTCCTGCGCCTTGTCTGCGCTGCAGTATTTGTTAGGATCGCGACAAGATGCGCGCGTTGTTTTGCACGTATCGACAGTTGGTGCGTGCGGGGGTCGTCGTGCGGTGCGTTTTGTAGTGGTTGCTTCAAATCCTTCCGCAATGATTTGAACGGAAAACGCCTCACCACCGGCACAGACAGGCGTTTGTGACTAATGCCTTGCTTCCTCTTGTGCGCGCTGTTTCCTCAATCCACAATGGTAGTTCGGATGCAAGTGGGGGCTTTCCCTGTACTGGGGCGCCAACAGCGATGCGCCGAGCCTTGGAAACGTGTGTTAGGGTTAGTGCAAAAGGGTTCGACTCATGGCAATTCAGTGCGTTCGCGTGGAAGTTGTGTTGTGTTTTTTGGCGTGAACCAGAGCCAGTCGCAAGGCAAGCCTCCTCAGCGCGTAGGACGGCAGGTAGAGGAGCGTGCGTCCTTCCGTGTGACAAAGTGTTATGCCTCTTGTGACCTCCTGCGCTTGCCCGCAAACACTCGCGGCGTGCTCCCGTCCGTGTTGCCCAACGAAGCAGGACGTTTGCCTGTGGCACACGTACCAGGGTTCGGGAGGAATCGGGCACGACCCCCCGCGCGATATCGAGAACGAGATGACCAGGGAGGATCTCGAAGCAGAATCCGCCAACATCAAGAAGATGCACGAGAAAGGCATCAAAACGGCGGAGATCTACAAATACCTGCAAGAAACGGGAAAGAGGCTGGGAGACAAAGGAAAACAGATGGTGAGCTAGGGAGGGGTCGAGCTCTTGACGCGACAGGCAGGGCGGGGTAGTACATTAAGTCCGAGGAGTATCACGGTATACACTCCGGCGGCAATGGCTTCCAACGCGTCCCACACGTAGCGCCGTGACCATAATATGTTAACGTCGTTTGAATATGTTTGCTTCCGAAATGCCTACCTTCGATTGACTTTGGAAGTGTCGTGAAGCCAACCACATCCCCTGTGATCGTGCGTGTTGGGCGGTAGCTGCGTCTCATGAGGGCGAAGTTCGACAAGGACAAGCAGAACAGCCGCGGTGGTTTGAACGACGCCCAGCAGTTGCTTCACCAGCTCGAGGAGGACGGCGCTTTCAAGAACTTCAAGCTCGACGAGGAGAACCGCCTGACGGACGTTGCTTGGGCACACGAGGAGCAGCGGCGCAACGCGGAGAAATACTTTCCCATCATCGTATCAGACACCACATTCAACACCAGCAAGTGAGTGCTGCTATAGCGTGTCGGGCATGCTGTGTTTTATGCTCCCTTTAGCACCCGACCTGGTCCGAACAGTGCCATGCCGTGAGGTAGCTTGTTGCTGTGCGTGGACAGCGCTGTCACCGGTGCGCCATGCCCGACGTTTGTGCTTTGTGCCGCTGTGACGTCATGCCCCCCCCCCACCACCACCACGGCGCGCCATGCCCGACGTTGGTGCTTTGTGCCGCTGTCTTACGTCTGCCCCTGCCCCCACCAGGTATAACCACAAGCTGGCATTCATAGTGGTGGTAGATAAGGAGAACCTCACGCAAATTGCGATGCAGGCGCTGTTGGAAACCGAGAGGCACGAATCCTTCGTGTTCTTGATGGAGTCCTTCAAGAAGCTCATCCGCGGAAGCAGCCCACAGGTGAAACGACGGTGTGACGCTGTGGAGCGGTAGCGAGGGTGAGACGAGGATGGCCACGTGCCCCCGACAAATAGCGCAAAATACCCCCATTCGATCAACACTAAACTACATCTTGAAACAGCCATACGTCATTCATTCCCCTGAATGTCTTGTGTCCCCTGCCCGCGTGGTTACTTCCGTGGCGAAGTAGGTGATCTTCACGGACACAGATCAGTCAGAGATGTCGGCCATCGCGCAGGTCTTTCCGGGGGCGCTTAACAAGCTGTGCTACTGGCACACGGAGCAGAACGTGAAGGAGCATGGGAAGGGACTTCCGCAGGGTGTCATCCAGGGAGTGCTGCGAAAGTTCAAGGCAGCGGCATACGCGCCAACGGTCGGGGTAAGAGAAATCTTGTTTAGCACATATAGCGTTTACCCCACCTGCGTGAAATCCGCCAGATTGTCGGCAACCCCTCTCGCGATGTTGGACCCTGAGAGCAGAATGTATAAGTACATGGCAGGAGACATCTTCAGCGCTACACATGGTAGCCTTCGGAAGGCGATGGAAGCAGACCCCAAGTGTTGTTCTGCGTGTACAATATTTCCTGCTTAGGAAGCATCGTAAGGCAGCGACGTTTTCGTCCTTGTGTGTCTCCTAACCTTGCGCCATGCCGTAACGTGTAACAGGCGGGCTGGCAGGTGGGCGGCATTTGTCCACCCTGGGCTTCACACCCTCGGCATTGCCTCCACGCAGCGGGTGGAATCCATGAACTGCGCCTTCAAGAAGCTGGTGACCAGGACGGGAGACTTGTTCGACCTTGACCGTGCCATCGTGGGCAAGGTTAACGATGGCAAGATCAAGGCCGAAAGGTGGGATGGCGTGTACTTGCGGCCCCGTGTGTCAGGGACAGCCCATGGCAAGTGACGGTGGTGCGCCCTTCTATGTAGAGGATACTGGCGGGTATGAGGACGTCGCATCTGGCGGAACCGAAGACCCTTGTAGCGTTGGACTTGAAATGCGTGTCCCACAGTTGCTTTTGTTTTTCGCCCATCATTGGATTCTGTCGTCTGTCCCTCTGGCCCCTATCCTCCACTTCTACCAGCTAGACGACCCAACCGGGGTCACATAGGAGGGGGGGGTTGGACCCCCTCCTGCGGTTCCTGCCTGAGATACTTTTATCGCGAGAAGGGTACAGCAATCCCTTCCCTCGCGACTTATGATGTCGATCAAGTTTACTAACAACGAGCTTGTCAGCGCGTCGCTTCCAACGGAGACCAGGATTTAATTAGCGAGAAAAATCTCACTCTGTCGGGACTCGAACCCATGACCTNGTTTTCGCCGGGCCGGCGACGTCGCTGGACTGCGTTTTTACTGCGTTGCCATCACTGACTTGAATCGCCCAGGCCACTACCTCAGCTCTCTTGCCACGATCCAAACGATAACGACAAGCACAGCAATAGGTGCAAATGGACTTGTGGCGTCACGGCTCATTTGTAAGGCGTTCGGTTGACATGTTGCGTCCCATCACTGTCCTTGTCTACGGGTTGGTACTCCGCGTGCGTTCCAGGCGAAGTGAGGGGGGAAACACTCCCCGCGTGCCGATATCGAGGCACAAGTCGCCGGCTGAGGTCATGAAAGAGAAGATCCGTGGTTATTTCAGCTTCATACCGGCGGCGATGGCCCACGAGCGATGCAGCACTAACGCAAAGGAGGTTAGTGGTGGTGGTCTTTGCTGTGCGATTGGATAAGCCGTTGTCGCTTCTACCCGTGGCACCCATGCTGTCCGTACCTTGCCTAGTGTGGTTAATTGAACCCCCAACGCTTGAACCCCGACTTTAGGCCAACATGTCAAGCGTACTTCTCTAGTGATGGAAGATTATCAGGCGTACCCCTCTCAAATGCCAGACCTTCATTTTCTCTCCACCACGCCCCCTCCCGGTGTTTACCATCGGGGTTGGGTTTTCGTCGCTTGGCAACGACGTTGTAAAACAAGCC